AGTAGAAAAATAGGGACCACCTTTGGTGGGAAGGTAACAGCATTCCGTGCTCCTTCGGCGTTTAGTCATGTCAGCCACATGACCACAGAGACGTCTTCAGACAGTGCTGGCTCTTCGGCTTTGAAATGGAGCTGAGCACCACCCCCTACAGTCGGGAGCGACTAGCACATATGTGTGAAGGTAACCTTTATCTTTTCCTTTTACCTATACTTGAGTTTATTCTTAAATATCACCGATGTTCTTCCCATCCTTTTTCGTACAGATAGATTCCAAACTGGTACGACAATTCACGGTCCCTTAGCCAAGATCGAGCACATTGGTGGAATTTATAGAGCATTCCTTTCTGTTCCTGTCCATCCTGGTGAATGGACTTTGAAACTTTGGCCCAAGGGGCATTATTTGGTGCACATTCAAGGTGAGAAATGGATTTTAAACTGGGCTCTTTGCTCAGCGGAACCAGTCTTTCCATTAAGCACAGGGACACTGATTTCAGGGTGTGGGTTGTCTCCACCAATATAAAGCTGCAGTAGTCTTTTGTCATTCTTTGTGGCCAAGTTCATTTAACAAGTCAATTCAAAAAATTAAGGGTTGGGGGGGGGGTGAAAAAAGGTAGGGCAATTGAATAGTCCTGGTATGTAACGGGGAAATCATGTTCTGTGTTCTAAGAAAAAAATGAATGGAGAAAAAGTAGCATTTCCTGTCTGTAAAAAAGTCACACTCCCTAATCTAGTGATGGCAAACCTTTTTGGCACTGAAAAGGGAGCATTCACACATGCGTGTCGTACACTCATCAGGGCCACAACTTGTAAGAGGAGCTGCCCAGGGGTCATGCATGTGCCGAGAAATGAACTCCCAGTTTCCAGCGTGCACATGTGTACCGGATGGCTGGTTCCCCCAGTTTCTGGTATGCATACACACATGACTATCAGCTGTTCCACATGTGCACACCGGAAAGCAGAAGACCAGCTCTTCCGGTTTCTGACACTGCTACATGCGTGAAGGCCACACTTATAGTCCCACGCGCATGCGTGCCAGACACCCGGAAGAGGAAAGGGCAACGCCGTGCATATCAGGTGGCATGGCTCCGCGTGCCACAGGTTCACCATCACGGCCCTAGTCCTTTGCTGGTCATGGCAATAGCAGTAGCATTTAGACTTACTGTATCTACCACTCCACAGTGCTTTATAGCACACTCTGGGCAATTTACAATGTCAGCACATTAACCCCCAACAATCTGGGTCCTCATTTTACTGACCTCAGAAGGATGGAAGACTGAGTTAATTTGAGCTCCATCAGGATCTAACTCCAGGCTGTGGGGCAGAGTTTGCTTGCAATACTGCATTCTAACCACTGCACCACCAGGGCTCTAGTGGATCTGGTTTTAAACTATGCAAATGTTTCGACAGGTCGGAGCACCCTCGATTTCTTGTATTATTTTGCTGTTCCTGTTGATGGACGTCACCCAGGGTTATTCATGCTGGATAGTCCTCCTGTTGAAGGTAAGTATGGAGAGGGTTTCTGTTCAGAAGATCCACGTTTGCTCTTACATAAGTCAGAGAGCTCTTATCTATTGGTAGCCTTCCATTCAGGGGTGAAATCCAGCAGGTTCTAACAGGTTCTGGAGAACCGGTAGTGGAACTTTTGAGTAGTTTGGAGAACCGGCAGCAGAAATTTTGAGTAGTTTGGAGAACTGGCAGTGGAAAAATTGAGTAGTTCGGAGAACCAGTAGCGGAACTTTTGAGTAGTTTGGAGAACTGGTAGCGGAAATTTTGAGTAGTTTGGAGAACCGGCAGCAGAAATTTTGAGTAGTTTGGAGAACTGGTAGTGGAAATTTTGAGTAGTTTGGAGAACCAGCAGCAGAAAATTTGAGTAGTTTGGAGAACCGGTAGCAGAAATTTTGAGTAATTTGGAGAACCGGTAGTGGAAAATTTGAGTAGTTCGGAGAACCGGTAGCAGAAATATTGAGTAGTTTGGAGAACTGGTAGCGGAAAAATTGAGTAGTTCAGAAAACCGGCAGCAGAAATTTCGAGTAGTTTGGAGAACTGATAGCGAAAAAATTGAGTAGTTCGGAGAACCAGTAGCAGAAAATTTGAGTAGTTCGGAGTACCGGCAAATGCCACCTCTGGCTGGCCCCAGAGTGGGGTGGGATGGAGATTTTGCAGTATCCTTCCCCTGCCACGCCCGCCAAGCCATGCCCACAGAACTGGTAGTAAAAAGTTTTGAATTTGACCACTGCTTCCCTTACATATTTGGCAATCATAGCTGATTGTGGTAGAATGAAGTTTGGATTCCCAGGAGCGGGGAGTGCATTCCAGAGGACCAAGAGACAGCAAAGTTTAGATTGTTTGGGAGAATGAGAGTCGAGATAGCTCCACCATAGAAATTCTCAGAGCATGTGTTTAACGATGCAAGTACCCGTGCTTCCCCAAAAATAAGATCCTGTGTTATAGATGGGTTCCAGCACAAGTCCAAAAGCTCAAAAACAAAACCTCTGGTCCTAGTGACCGACACAGATTGGATCCTGCAAGATGACATCCAGTTGTTCCTTAAAACTATCTATACACATGCGCACACAAACACACACACGCTCTTTGGTTGAGGATGAAAGGAACCAGGCCACACCAGGTCCTTTAGAGATTGGATGCCTGGTACAATTATCATTTGCTTCCCGACAGGTTTGCCTATCTACCTGGTTGTCATGGCAATTGGTCTGAACCAGACCAAGTCGGGCTCTGTTCAGCTACAGTCGGTGAACTTAGAAGCAAGAACAGGCAGCCTTGGGGAGTTAAAACTACAGAGAAGAGACGGTCGGATGGACCTGTTTGTGGCCAAGCTGCCTCCGACTCTATTAACCACCAACAGCTTTTCCATCGTGGTACATGGAATGGACGGTGAGGGCCAGAAGTTGGAGAGATCTGCTCCTCAAGTTGCAACTGTCACAGGATCCCTCCTAGAGGTAAGGTGAAAGTTAGAGGTGGAAGATTTGGGGTGCCTACCTGTATTTTACAGCTGTATTTTACAGGTTTCTCCTTTCTCCTGCCGTTGTTGTATTATAGGCATTCTGTTCCTTGGAAGTTAACATTTTTGATAGGTGTGTGTGTAGATGTATAGCCCTTGACGTAGGACTTAAAGAAGTTATGATGGACACCCCCTCCCAAAGGAGTTCAGAGTTCCAATGGCCATGCTCCCCAGTGGTTACATGACTGCATTTTGGGTGCCCACACTTATGGCCATGTGCAGCATCCCGAATTACTTGACTGGAATTTATGACGTTTTTGCCAGAAACTGGTGTTTACTTCCAGTTTCCAGCAAAAAATGCCCCATAGCTAACAATGGAATAATATTACAACTGAAGTGTTTGCTTAATGATTGTTACAAAAAAGTTGTAAAATCGGGTATGGTCATTTGATGCCCCGCTTAAAAATTGTCTTGATTTACAACCATAATTGCAGGCTCAATTAAGGGCATAAATCAAGGAATGCACAAACACACACACACAAACACACACACGTTTTCTATCGCATGTGACTATGTATGAATAATTTTCTTGTAGCAAATCTGTGGTACCCAAACCCGACAGAATGGAGACAGAGTTGAAGAACTAAATTAAGTCAGTCCTTTAGAAGAGGGACGCGGTGACTTAGTGGCTAAGATGCTGAGCTTGTCGATCAGAAAGGTCAGCCGTTTGGCGGTTCGAATCCCTAGTGCCACGTAATGGACTGAGCTCCCGTTACTTGTCCCAGCTTCTGCCAACGTAGCAGTTCGAAAGCATGTAAAAATGCAAGTAGAAAAATAGGGACCACCTTAGAAAGAAAGAAAATTGTAAAATAAAATGCAGACAGATGATTTTACTGGGATTTATAGTT